CAAAAACTTTAGTATACAGACAATGTACATTCTCATTCGACTGACCTTCATTACATTACCTTGGCAACTAAACTGATTGTTGACCTACAGACCGCTGTTGGTTACTGAATACTGAACAACAGTGAAATCCATCTGATCAACTATTGAGGCGCTAATGAGCTGTACGTAAATACATACACACACACACATATATATACACAATTCTAAAAACATTTCATATTCTGGAAAGCTAAATATACATATATCCACCTAGATTTTAAGACTGATTTGTTTCATGATCACAATACTTTGTCACATACACTAGATGTATGAGAAAGTAAACAAGGCTATGATGATTCTTCATTTTTATAGAACATACATATATCACTGTCATGATGCTGAATTAACCTTTCATGTAAGGCATTTACATCTCTCACATTAGAACAATATGTTCCACTTGACAGTTATATGTTAAGTGTATTTATTACCTAAATCAGAGAGAATAAGTCTCAAAATTCGTTCAAATGTTCTTTACATTATTTTTATCTATCATTAACTCTACCAGTATGGCATTTACTCCTGATTCATTCTATCTTTCACATGCTATTGTATTATAGCTGAGGATCAGTAAAACAATGTACAATTTCAAAATATTGTAATACATAGGTTTCAGCTTGAACACCTCTCCCGTCTGATAGCTCCTTTGCTCTGTTTCGCTGAATGATTACTAGCCAATGAATTCGAAATTATACTCCACACATCTCATATTAACATTAGGAAGCAACAAATGAATGCATTCATAAATATTGAACATTCTGCATTCAGTTACAATATAATATTAACCTTGTACTGTTTTGCAGGATATTTTCCAATAAATGAGATTTAAATACTGTATGATAAAGGTTAAAGTACAATAATTGTTATTGATACTTAAAAGTAAATGAGGGCACATGGTAACATAGTTAGTTGAGGCACTATGCTACAAGCCGGAAGGTTGCGGGTTCAATTCCCGATGAGGTCAATGGATTTTTTTAATTGACATAATCCTTGCAACCACACTATGGCCCTGGGGTCAGCCTCTAACAGGAATATTCTTGGTGGAAAAGGGCAGCCGGCACGTAGGGCTGACAACCTTGCCGCCATCTATGAGCCGATTGTCTAGAAAATGTGGGAACCTCAACATCTCACAACCCTATGGGCCTCCACGGCTTGTTGCAGGGATACCTTTACTTCTTTTTTACTTAAAAGTAAATAAATAAAGCTGGGATAGCTCAGTCGGTATAGCGACTGGATGACCAAGAAGTCGGAGTTTGAGTCCCGATGGAGGCAAGAATTTTCACTCCTTCATGTTGTCCAGACCAGCTCACCCAGCCTCTTATCCAATGGGTACCCAGAGGTAAAGAGGCCTGAGTGTGAAGCTGACCACTCACCTCCAACTAGTGCTGAGGTCAAGAAAACGAGGGTCTATACATCCACTTTCCATACATCTTCATGGTGTTAGTTAAGCACAGGGACAACTTTACCTTTTAATAGTAAGTAAGTGCAGAACTAATTACTGCCACTATCCTTATCTTGCACTTTCTGTACATCAATTTGTTCAACATTTACAATGTAGATGTTTTTTTCCTTGGCACTACAGCCCCAGTGGGCCTAGGCCTACCTCCATGAACTCCATTCACTTCGGTTTTTCTAGATCTAACACATACGGTAGGACTCCTTGGACGAGTGATCAGCTCGTCGCAAGGCCTCTACCTGTAGACAAACACAGAAAAACGCACACAAACATCCATGCCCTGAGTGGGATTCGAACCCACGATCCCGGCTTCCGAGCGATCAAAGACAGTGCATGCCTTAGACCGCTCGGCTACCGTGACCGGCACAATATTGATGTTTAGTATTTCAAAATCTAAGTTATGAGGCAGAGTCAGTAGACAGGTCAAAACTGGAAGTAAAACAGCTGTAATGGAAGTAATAGGTTTTCTATGTGTATCACTAGGTAGCAGCACAGTCCAGCTTCATGGCAGTCTAGACAGCATATGTGCATGCTCATGTTCAGAGGCTGGTTTCAGTAGTAAAAATGGTGACCGTGCTTGAGGGGTATGCTACTGGAGAGCACTGTTCTGTTGGGCGTTTTCTTTTATGGGCAAAAGGGCTCAATGCAAAGGATATTCACAAAGAAATGTTTCCTGTTTACAGTGGGAAGTGTTTGTTGCATAAAGCGGTCCACAACTGAATCGAGAAATTCTCTCAAGGATGGTTGAAAGTTGCACATGATGCCTGACCAGGTCAACCTGTTGAGATTGTGACAGAAGCAACTGTGCAGTGGGTGGAGAGTTGATTCAAGCTAACAGGAGGTTAATGATAGACATTGTAGCAACTGCACTAGGGTGTGGTTTAGCATAGAGCACGATGCATGATCATTCAAAGTCTTGGAGAGTGCACATGTGAGTGCCCAGAGAACTGAAGGCTCTAGAAAAAATGAACTCACTGGTTTCATGCTTGCAACATCTGACACGGTTTGCAGATGAAGGAGAAAATATGCTTAACAGGAGTGTTACTGGGTATGAATCATGGGTGCATCACTACCAACCCGAAAGTACGAGTATCATATTGTTAATTGTGATGTTTGTTTCTTCTGTTTGGGTGCGCCAAATTCCAAAACAAACCCATTCAGTAACTTTGTCATGTTCCATGGAAAAACAATTTTATCCACATGCTTTCCAGTGGAGAAGATAACAATTCATTGTTTGGTTTTGTTCTTTCTAATTATTGAGCGACCCAGAAAATAATACTTAGGTAAGTCAATAATTATCTGCAATGTAGCTATAAATTTTATTTCAATACAAACAGAAAACTTACATTAACATCATTTTTCAACATAGTCCCCTTGCTTTTCAACGCACTTGGTCCATCGTTGCACAAGCTTGCTGATGCCCTCAGAAAAGAAGGTTTTTGGTTGAGCAGCGAGCCACGCATGCACCGCTTCCTTCACTTCTTGGTCCGAGGTGAATCGACGGCCCCTTAATCCCTCTTTGAGTGGACCAAACAAGTGGTAGTCAGAAGGGGCGAGATCAGGACTATAAGGAGGATGAGCCATTACATCAAACTTGAGTTTCCGGAGGGTTTCAGCAGTGTGGGCAGCAGTATGTGGACGGGCACTGTCGTGCAACAACACAACACCTTTCGACAGTAGTCCTCGGCGTTTGCTTCAAATTTCAGGCTTTAGCCTGTCAGTAAGCATCTCACTGTAACAAGCACTGTTTATTGTTGTGCCCCTCTCCTGATAATGTTCCAGTACTGGGCCTTGTGAGTCCCAAAAACTGTAAGCATCAGTTTTCCTGTGGATGGTTGGCTTTTAAACTTTTTCTTGCTGGGCGATTGTGGATGTTTCAATTCCATACTCTGCCGCTTACTCTCCGGCTCGCAATGATGGATCCATGTTTCGTCACCAATGATGATTCTGTCTAAGAAGCGATCCAAATGTTGTTGGCAGATGTTCAAGCGCGTTTGTTTATGCAACACTGAGTTGTTTTGGGACCCATCTTGTACAGACTTTATGAAACCCAAGTCTGTTGTGGATGATTTTGTAGGCAGAACCATGACTAATTTGCAGACGATTTGCCACTTCATCAATAGTCACTCATCAGTCTAACAGAACCATGTCACATGCACACTCAATGTTGTCCTCATTTGTGGCCATGGATGGTCGTCTGGCTCCTTCCTCATGCGTAACACTTGTGCAACCATTTTTGAATTTTTAAATCCATTTGTAGACACTCTGTTGTGGCAAAACACTGTTCCCATATTGTGCTGAAAGTCTTTGATGGATTGCGGCCCCTGCTACACCTTCCGACCACAGAAACCGGATCACTGAATGTTGCTATTCTTTGGTGCAAACAGAAAGCGGAGCAGCCATGATTAACGGCAAGGCAGTGATGATGGAACTGACCTAGCAACATCAAACCTGTGCAGAAATAATGACAAGGAAACCATGTATGGCGATGCTGCGCAAAACAACAGTGCTGCCAACAGAAACACAAATACAACTGCATTGTGGATAATTATTGACTTCCCCTCGTATATTTTTTTTACATAACACTCTGAGACCTTGTGTGAGGGATAAGCATGAAGATTTTCACCTGTTTTTTGTAGTAACTTCTTGCAGTGGGTTTAATATAGACACATTTGTGGGCACTGTCATAGCCATGAAACGGTACTTCCTGTCAAGATGTGTATACATACTGCCTTACCAAGGGACAGGTAATAGTATTTAAATGAATGTATCGAAAATTCTCTTTTTTATCCATCACCAATAAGAAGCCCCTTGAATTTTTACGGGAACGTTTTGACATATTCCCATTTAAATGTATAAGGGGCAGTCAAATGAAAACGAGTCACCATGCATAACTCACACGGCACACAAGTTGATAAAACTGGAATTTGCTTACGGTACGAACATCTGGTGGGGACTCAGGAATGCACAGTGACAATGTGCCCTTGCACTCTAGTCGTTTGCTTATTGTGCTGGAAATAAGGTTAGCGCTATATGTGGTTGTCCAACATCGGTAATGGAGGTGGGTAAAGAAGAACAGCGAAGTGGAATGCACTTTTTGACTGCTGAAGGAGTAGGAGGACATGAAATTCATCGTCACATGTCTGTTGTTTACGGCGAACACAGCATGTCACATTCACGTGTACTGACTTGGCATAAGAGATTCCGAATGGGACATGTGTCACTGCAAGATGATGCTCGCCCAGGACAGGCTCACTGTGTCATCACTCCTGATGTTATTGCTACATTGGATGGTCATATCTGGGCAAACCGATGGATCACTGTGGAAGAAATTAGTCTTTTGATGGGAATAAGTCACGGTTCCGTACACGCCATTGTGACAAAACATGTGCTGTGCCGCAAAATCTGCGCACAGTGGGTTCCACATCAACTCACGGAGGAACAGAAGACTCATTGCTGCATCACTGGGTCACTTGCAATGATACCACGAGGAAGAGTATGCTTTTCTGTCCCATATTGCCACTGGGGACAAAATTTGGTGCCACCATTTTGAACCCGAGAGCAAACGGCAGAGTCAAGAGTGGAAGCACGTGAATTCTCACCCATCAAAGTAATCCAAAGTCATACACACAAGTTCCAGTAAAGTGATGATGACGATCTTTGACTGCAAGGGCTTTCTGCTTGTCGAATTTCTCGAGCATGGGGTCACAATCAGTGCACAGCACTATGAAGACACTTCGCAGAAACTGATACGTGCCATAAAGTCAAAACGCCCTGGAATGTTATAGAACAGCATTATTCTTCTTTATGATAATGTGCGCCCCCACACTGCCACCTCTGTGAGGAATACGCTACATAGATTTGGTTGGGAAGTGCTTCAACATCCCCCCTACAGCCCAGATCTCTCCCCATGTGATTTTCACATTTTTGGAGACATGAAGAGAGATATTCGTGGACGTTGGTTTGCATCGGATGAAGACGCATGTGACTGGGTAAAGATGTGGTTCCGTAGACAGCCCACAAGCTTTTTCAAGGATGGGATTGACCATCTTATCTCCCAGTGGGATAAATGTATTAACAGTTTTGGAGATTACTTTTGAGGTAAGAAATGTTCTTTAATATGTTTTGGCTTCTGACCTGTTTTCATTTGACTGCCCCTCATACGATAAGCACAAATAACCCTTCGGTCTATTCACTGTTTATATTGCAACCATCGAGGGACATTCTGAAATCATAATTTCATTGGATTGAACATATTTGTGAATCAATAAAGCTCTAAACTTGGAGGCGTTCAGCTTGAATCTCGACCTGAACATCATCCATTCTTTTGAGCTTTTTCATGATTTTCCTCAGTTATCCCATGTCAGTGTTGTGATAGAATCCTACCAATTCTATTCTCATTCCTTATCTGACAATCGTCTAAGTTTTTGACGTCATATAATCTGTGATGTTGGCAGGGCCATAAAATAAACAACAGAAATATATATTGTGCTGAATACGCGCACTTCTGGATTCTAAAATTCTAAGTTTGTTTAGTGTTGCATTTATTTGTGTTTTATTTAAAGACCTTATCAGCATCTTTGACTATATGGCGAGCACTGGAGAGCATATTGAAAGGAGCTTTCGTGGATTAATTTAAGGCATTATTCGACATTTCACTCATTCATGGAGCTGAGACCTTGAGAAGCTGCCAAATTGTGCAGCTATTCAAAAAATTCCCAGCATTTTATTGAACCAGAAGGTTCATTACTGTGTTCACAAGAGCCCTCCACCGGTCCCTATTCTGAGACAGATAAATCCAATCCATATCATCCCATCTCTTTAAGATCCATTTTAACATTGTCCACCCACCTATGCCTTGGTCTTCCCGGTGTTCTCTTTCCATCTGGCTCTCCCACTGATATCCTATATGAATTACGCTTCTCCCCCATTCGTGCTACATACCCTTCCCATCTCATCCTGCTTGATATGATCATTCTAATTATATCTGGAGAAGAGCTCAAGTTATGAAGCTCCTCAGGATCTCCTCTCAGCAGGAGAGAGCAAACGGCTGCTGTAGGCGATCAGAGCTAATTCCAGTGATGTCACCGGCATCACAGACAAGAGTAAATTCCTGAGAAAAGTCAGGGATCTGCAATACGGGGGGAGTTGACAAGGCTTCCTTAAGCTGTTCGAAAGCTGACTGCTGGGCCTTGCCCCAGACAAACCTGGCGTTCTCATGCTTCAGCGCATGCAGGGGTTCAGCAATTAATGAGAACTGCTTAATGAAGCATCCACAGAACCCTGCCATTCCCAGAAATCTCCAAACCCCCTTAAGGTTCATGGGAGTTGGGAAGTTTTGAATGGCTTCCACCTACTCAGGCAAAATCTTTACTCCCTGACTCGACATCAAGAGCCCCAGTAAGGAAATTTCCAACTCGGCCAGCCGGAGCCTGTCCAGGTTCAAGGTAAACCTGGCCCTTTCCAACCTCTTGAAAACTTCTGCCCATAAAGTTGCATACAATTTTCTGTCTGAGGTCCCCAAACAGTGTGTCGACCACCCTCAATAGCTTATTGAACTCAAAGAGCCTGAAGGGGGTACAAAAGGCAGTAGCCCTCCAGCTCTTTGCTGACAGAGGGATCTGGTAGTATGTCGAGTTTAGGTCAAGCACCGAAAACACTTTCGCGTTATGAAAATCAGCAAGGTGTGCTCGACTGTCGGCATAGGGAAGGCATTAAAAACTACCTTTTTATTTAAAAGGAAACAATCTACCACCATCCTATAGTCACCTTGGGGTTTGGGCACTAGAAAGGCCAGGCTAGCATATTGGGAAGAACTCTTTCTAATCACTCCTTTGTCTAGCAGGTCCTGGATGATCTCCCTTAAAATTTTCAAACGGGGAGGTGAACACTGGTATGGCTGCGACTGCATCGGAACATTGTCCATTAACTCTAGGTGACACAGTTCCTTTCGCAGTGCCTAGTTTATCAGAAAACAGCAGGAAACCTCCGAATCAACTCACTGATTTCTGTAGAGTTATCTGGCACCTCTAGCACACAAGACGATGAAACACGTCTTCTCCACAAGGGAACATCTGCGAGGGACGCCTGCAAGATCCTAGAAAGTGGAATTTGAATTCCTTCTCCAGGTCAAATTTGAAGCTATATTTCCCAGTCACAAAGTCCACTGGCACCCAGGCGCGCCCTAGAAAGTTGACTTCCAGAACGCAAGGGACCGGGCAGTGCTCAAAAATCAAGAAACTAACTTTCGAGGAGGAGTGTAAATTGTCGGTCAAAATGACAGCTTGTGTGATGCTGCAAGGTTCTCCATTAGCAGCCTGGCAACGTTCCTCTGCTGTTTCGACCTTGGAGGGCAATCCTAACTCTTTAATTTCGTTCAGGATGTCTTGTCTCACGAAGGAGACAGACGGTATTCACACACACATAAAACAACAAATTTATGATTAAGAACATATAATATTTACAACTTACCCAATGCATGCTGTGGTGATCCACACCTTCTTCTAGCAATTCTACATCCCAGTCTTCTCCTTCCTCTGTTGGATCAAAGTTATACAGTGGTATCAGATGGTGGCGCAGACGATCGAGACGCTTCTTGCGTATAATGAAGTATACCTGTGAGCAGCAAGTAACACCATTAAATTCACACATGTAAAGATAATCCTACTATAGAAAGCTTGTACATGTATGCATGTTACTTTCTCTATGTGAAAACTTCAGATATAATCTCAAGGATCTGCACTACTGTCATGTTTGTATTTGTTGACTTATAAACAGTGTTTCATATTTAATGTGTACGTATGTTTGCAGTCTATCTCTACACCAGATCTCATATGTTTTACTGTCATCATTTTGTTGTTTTACATTCTAAAAATGATCACATTAACAAGAGCTGTATATATTTTTTGAAGATCTAGTACAATGAATAATTTCAGGACTCTGTATTAAGTGGTGCTAATGTCGCTCCTACCTCACAAATTTGTGGGCCTCCTCCCTACTGTTATTATCTGTTGTATGAAATTAAAAACTATGACACTGAAGTGACCTCTAATGGCCATACATATAATTTTTCATGAAAACTGTTAGTTGGTTAAATAAGTCAAAATGGAACACACATCTATGCACAAACACACATACGCTCACACTTAAAGTTACCAAATATGCCATGCAAAGATTTAGGGTTCTGATGATGGTGAATTCATATTGTAGTCTTCTGGGTGGACATATTGTAGCCTAGCTGGTGGCCACCAGCATTTCAGAGGAACATACTGCCTCCATCGTCAGGCTTTGGGGAAATATGTACACTATGGTGATCTCATAAGCCTACTTTTTCCCTTTCAGATAGGAAAGTATGCTAAAACCATATTCTGTGTGTGTGTGTGAGTGCGCGCGCGCACGCGTGTGTGTGNGAGAAATGAAGAAGTGCTATTTAGAGTCAGTGAGCAGAGGAATATCCTACACAAAATAAGAAAACGGAAGGCTAATTGGATTTGTCATATCTTATGCGGTAACTGCCTTCTTAAAGAAGTCACTGAAGGAAAGATAGAGGGGCAGATAGAAGTGACAAGAAGACGAGGAAGAAGACGTAAGAAGATGCTGGATGACCTTGGGGACAGAAGAGGATATTTTAATTTGAAGGAGAAAGCTCTAGATCACATCAAGTGGAGGAACTGTTTTGGAAGAGACTGGGGACCTGTCATCTTGACAGATTACAGATGAATGAATGAATAAGAATCATGTGACACAGAGTTGCATATCTTATACAGCCACATGAATCAGAGTTCTTAACAGAAGCTAACAGCTGCTCTGCTAGTTAAGAATTTCCTTGTGCTTTATGGGCCATGAAGGTTCATTCAAGTGTTTACAATAACTCACCACCATTGACATCTATGTAGGATTCCAGGTTCTCACAGTGGTGGTTATGAAGAATATTATCTTCTGGGATATAATGTCATGTAGTTTGTTGAAAGCTAACCTTGCTACCTACTTTTACACTGATATCTTGCTTGGCTTATCCTTTGACCCTTAAGATGGAGGTGATATGTTCCTCTGAAATGTCGGTTGACTTTCAATGAACTACACTGCATTATATCCCAGAAGATAGTATTTTCAACCCATATCTAATTAACAAGAAAGAAATTTGATGGCAATAGTGCTGTAGATCTGTTCTTAAGAAGAACAGAGTTTAAATCTCAGCAGAGTTAGCAGTTATCTGAACTCAGTTCCTAGGTTTTATCAGTCTCCCCAGACAAGTCCCTTGTAATAGAGTATAAATGATTTCCTCTACATCTCTGTCTACTGTACTCGCTATTCATAAATATCATTAAATAATCTAGGACTCAACCATAAATCTAATTACCATAACTGCTAGCAAGCAGAGGAGTGAGAGAATGCCCAAAGGAATTATTATGTATTGCATTGCTTGTGATTCATTTGCACTACCAACAGGTGAAGAAGGCAGGTCTGTAACATTTGTATCATCTGTGGATTGCAGAAGAATATCAGATGTCAGGATTCCAGAAGAAGTGGCTACTATCGAACTCAAATTAAGCCATCCATCACTCAGGGCCATCACAGTGTGAGTAGCTGCAACAGTAACAAAACATAAAAAAAGGAGCTCTGACTTCATATTTACATAGGGACCCTGCAGCAAATTGTTTGGCCAGTCTGGTGGGAGGGATGTATGCTTCCCGTGTTCTCTTATGTACATATGGACTTATGGTATAGACAACAGCTCAACAGCCTATAAGTATTACAATTCCTCTTCCGTACTGTCCCAATAAATCATTGAACAACTACAGTGAAGTGAGCTTATATCTGCCTACCTATCATAATTTCAAGCCCTGCTGCTGAATGAAACATTGTATGTTTCTTTCTGTGCTGAAATGCTGGTTGATAGTTACTTGCACATTGGAATGAGTGTCCATGTATGATATCCATGTGAAAAGTAGAGAAGATTCTTCCATAAATTCAGCATGTTACAGTCTGACATGAGGAAAATTTTCATGTTACTGTAAATACATTTAGACAGACAGGGTTGTCATTGGACAAAAGTGAATTAAATCAAAATGTCAAGTGCTATCCAAAGAGAATCTATAGATAAAAGTGATGCAAGGCTTGAACATTCTTCAAAAAATCCATTAGATACTTTGCATAGAAGACCAGCATCTAATTTTTCTGATTTCAAGTTTTAAGTTAGTTCTTTTTCTGAAAAGGAATCTATGGACATGAACATTTTTAGAGATGCCATGAATACATCCATAACAGCAGGGGGATTTAGGGCGTCTGTGATATGGATGAGTTTTGTTTGTAATTTGATGGTCTATGGATTTGGTGATTGCATTGTGGGTAGAAATACATACTGAAAGTTCTGGCCAAACAATATGCAACATGCTCTTGAATAATCTCTCTGTATTATAATTAGTTTGAATGACTGATTAATTCTGATCGGTTCAATGAATGTTTCAATGCAATAAAATAAGACAGAATGTAACAATTTTTGGATGAAATACAGACTGATCACAGGCCTGTACTTGATTCTGGCTTCAATCATCATGTAACGGGGACATCTTCAGTATGTGCTGCATTACTGACCATTTTTAGAAGCTGACATGAGGAAATATTACTGCCACTTTAAGACAAAGAGATTTCATAACTTCCTTGCAACATACAATTGTAATGCTGAGCCTCACTGTTTGATAAAATCCACTATCAAAGTAAATAAGTTTAGGTATCTAAATTTACACTAGTCAGCACACATCAAATATCACTCCTGCATGGCAATAACCATGATTAAACCAAATGCTCACCAACTTTGATGGTAATAGAGTGAGTTATAACAGTTATTTACTCAGTTTGCCTAGCAACGGCTGTTTACTTGCCATTGCTAAGCAATGACACTTCCATTGTGACTGTAAGATTTGCTTGAATGTGGGCAGTTCCCACAGACTTTTTCTGATGGATCCAACAGAGTAGGCACCTCCCACTCTTTGACTTGAGGTCAAAACAGATCCAGTTTCTGAGACATCGTATTCTTTAGAATACCAGACGATGGACAAAATCCAAAAACTTGGAATCAGAGTCTTGCCAGCCATGTCTGGCTATGATTATTGTATATAACTGAGAAAATTATAAAAATAAAGTAAACTATGGTATCCTAACTATGAGTAGTGCAGTTGGTTGAGGCACTATGCTATAAGCTGGAAGGTCACAGGTTCGATTCCCAGGATTTTTCAATTGACCTAATCCTTCAAGCCACACCATGGCCCTGGGGTTTACTCAGCCTCTAACTGAAATGAGTACCAGGAATCCTCCTGGGGATAAAGGGCAGCTGGTGCGAGAAGCTGACGACCTCTGCCATCTGTGAGCCACTTGTCTAGAAAATGTGGGTGCCTTGATGTCTCACAACCCTATGGGCCTCCATGGACTGTTACAAGGGTAGCTTTCAATTTTTAAGCCTATTATGAGTATCTGAGGGAATACAATACAAATTAAAGGAAGGACCATTTGTCAGGGTGACAGAAAGTATTAAACTCTTGTGTCCAGAAGGATTAACAGACTGGGGACATGTATAGGGTAACATTCTAGAGCTGCCTTAATTTCTTTGCTTTCAAACTATTCTAAATCTACTTTCAGTAATGCAATATGGTATTCAAACTAGTCAGTCCTTAAATGAAAAGCAATGTGTGCAAGGGCTGCACAATTCTCGGGCCACTTAATCTACCATTGGACCTTAATGCATATAAACTTTAGTGTATATACATTTTTTCCTTCATATGATTATTACTTTGTAATATTAGAGATGGTCATAGGAAAAGATGGCAGACGACATACAAACGTATAACAATTATAATGCGCTGTACTTACACATTAACATAGTTTACATTGTAGAATTTACTTAAAATGATAACCTGGTTTGTCATAATTTATAGGTTAACATGCCCACTACACATAAACGTGTCCAATTAATTGCACAGACAATTCTCATATGATATGTTAGTTATGTTACTGTGAATTCTGTAGTTAACAGTACAAGGTAACATTACCTGCATTTCATTATAAACGAAGTACATAATCAAAACTTACTTAGCAACTGTTTGTTTACCCATTTTTGACCACCATGCTTGATATTGGCGTTCTCATATTTCCGCAAGATAGAAGCACAATCAAATTGCTGGGGAAGGAAGAAGTTAGTAAAGAGTGACCAACTGAAAATTGAGACGAGAATATTGTAAGTTTTCACCAATTTAAGTAGTAAAATTGCCCCAGTATTGATTCATAGACGTTCACATATGCATGGTGCTTGCGTATGAATGTAAATAGACTATACGAATTCAATAGCAACATTTACAAACAGCTTTCTGGTGCAAGGTTACACAGGAATGGTTCTCTAGTATCGTCGGCTCGACGTCACATTCTGTTTAGAAGGCAACGACACCAACCTTATTTTATTTACATTGATTTGTCTTCGTTAGGTCTACGTCGAAGCTTAAATAGTGACAAAATACTTAGTTATTGTGAGATGAAATAGTTACATACATATTTTGTGGTTATTAATAGTTGTTTCATACTGTCAAATTCGGTTTTGACGCATGTGAATAAGTAGTTTGATATATATGCCAATTTGTCTCTTGGAGTCTTATTTGACCATTACAGCATTTTTTCATGTCTGTAAACAACAATTCCAGAAAGTAACGTTTTGGTTTAGAACATGTTTGTATGCAGTTGGGGCATATGCTGCTTAAAAAAGATGTGAAGAGTACTATTATCTTGTGGGATGTAATGTCATTTAGTCTGGCAGAAGTTGCGCAGCATTATGTATGTATGTATGTATTTATTTCGTCTCTATAGATCATTGTTTCATGATATAGGACAAGTCAGTTACTGTACATTGGCTGATTACAATAAGAGAATAAAGTTATAATACTTAAAATTGTTTACAATAGTTAAGATTTCACAGATAGTGAAGTACATGTTGTAGTACATGTTATAATTACTGCTCTAAGAACTGCAGATACTAAAGAGGGTTTGGCTTTGTAATGCACAGAGTACATAGCAAACATTTTTATTAGACATGTACAACATATTTTGCCTAGGCGATAGACAGTATTTCTGCATAATGAAGAGCTTCATAACTTGTACTCTTCTCCAAGTATATGATCAAGTCAAGGAGGATGAGGTGGGAAGGGCATGTAGCACAAATGGGGGAGATGAGGAATGCATTTAAAATATAGGTGGGAAAGCCAGAAAGAAAGTGACCACTTGGGAGACCAAGACTTAGGTGTGTGGACAATATTAGAATGGATCTTAGAGAGATAGGATGGGATGCTATAGATTGGACTGATCTGGCTCAGGATAGGGACCAGTGGAGGGCTCTTGTGAACACGGTAATGAACCTTTGGGTTCCATAAAATGCTAGGAAATTCTTGAGTAGCTGCCGATTTGGCTTCTCAAGAAGGGCTCAGCTCCATAAGTAAGTACTAGACTGTATTTATAGCAGTATCACAATGATATAGATTTGTTCCATGTACAGTATAGGTTTAAATTTAGAGTCAGTAAGAAAGTTGATGTTGATTATTTATGTCACCCTATTAATTTACAGACCATCAAGTTGTGTAGATTTCTTGGGAAATACTATGATTTTCACGTGACAAGTTGGTAATGTTGAAAACTGCCATTCCCATTGCATTTACATAGTAAGTAGTAGTGAAATTTATATTCTTTAATCCACCTTTGCATTGCAGTATGAACTGTTAGTGGGATTTACAAATATTGAAGATCTTTTCTTGTGGCAGAGAGTACGAATTATGATTTATGTGTGAATGCTTGTGAAATAGTCTCTTATGACAACTTAGGACTGAAATGCAGAAAATGGTTTGTATGTCATCATGCCATTTGTCAGGGTGGATTTTGACCCCACGATGCTCCTTTATGGTTAGCATTTGTTGGGCCAGATCAGCTGAACTGTGCTTGTATTAAGGGAGCTGTTAGCTGCTACTGAATGATAAGCAATTAAGGCATATTGTGGGCATGGAAGTATACCCTATGAATTCTCTAACCAGCAGTAGATGTAAGTGAGTAGTAATCTTCATGCTCCAGTCACTTTTCTCTCAGGGTAAGAGTCCTTAGTACCCGCCTGTTGGATAGGAGGATTGGTGGGTCCCAGAGCCAGTTTGGGCATGATGAGAAACAGAGAATTCTCTGCAGCTGCTAGGATTCAAACCCCAGTCATCTGACCTATAGCCACATATCTTAGTGATGCAGCTGTTTTTGCTTGTGTAATGCGAGGTGTATTGGAGAGTGCCTGGACTATGTCAGAAATTAAATGCTTGCTTAATTTTCTCAATTTTGGCTGCCATCTCCTTGAAAATAGTCTCCTTAGGAATGTATACAGTTATCCCATCATTTTTTCCATGCTTCAGAAGTACTGTCGAAGTCATTTTCCTTAATGCTCTTGAGTACTGCTTATGATTCCCTTTTAATGTCAGACACTGTTTCAAAAGTTATCCCTTCAGTTTCATTTTCAATTTGGGAAACGTAGTGAAATCGCAGGGGTGTAAGAACGATTAATATTGAGGATTGGGAACAATAACCACGTTTTAGTTACAAACTCTGTGGGTTTCAGGGACGTGTGGGCAGGCCTGTTGTCATGATGGAGGAGCCAGTTGTGGTTGTGCCAAATTTCCGGTCTTTATCATTGCACGTTTTCTCTCAGGTGTCAGCAAAAGTCAAAGTTGACCATAGTGTTAGGAGGAACAAATTCATGGTGAAAAATCCCCTTCACAATTTTAAAAACAGGAGCACACTCCTTGTTGAACTCTGGATCTACTGCACCTTTTTTGCTGTTGGTGATTGTGGGTTCTTCCACTGTGGTGATTGTTGCTTTGTTTCTGGATCATAACTGCAAATCCAACTTTCATCAGCTGTTATGATCCTAGAGTTAAAAGTTGGTGCCTCCTTAGCCTTCTCTTGTAGCTCAAGACACATTTATGTGCTGCTGTTTTTGGTCATTTGTCAAGAGTTGGGGAACACACTTCATGGCAGTGCGGCACATGTTCAAATTTTCTATTAAGATCTCCTGGCAAACTCCATAACTGATCCCAGCAGTGTCTGCAAGCTCACAGATTGTTCGGTGACGTTCTTTGTGGATGAGTTCTCAAATTTTTTCCACATTTTCTGTCATTTTGCTGGTGCTTGGTCACCCTGAACATCCACTATCTGGCATAGGATGTTGCTCTAACAGGGCAGCCTGCGGCTCATAACTTTCACTCTTCTGCCAAATATTGATGTGATCATTAAAATGATTCAAGGTTAAGACCATGTTGGACCCTCTGAGGAAGCCAGTACTGTTCCCCTTGGCTTTGGTCCTGTGCATATGGCTTTGTCATTATCATATCCAGTGAGGGCTTGTATCACTTTTTAAGTACATGCTCTGTGCAGAGCATAGACTACCTGGTCTCCCATTATACTGTTAGGACCACTCAGGAGACCACCATGAAAGTGAGACTTGATGATTAAAGACATTAATGTGTCGTTTTCCTTATTAAATTCTAGCATCCTACTTGAAGTATTATTTAAGCATGTTGCTGCTTCATCCCTTTTCCTGACCTTTTAGTAGCCAGCATCAAAAAGAAGGATTAGGCAGTAATTAGCATATAGGACATTGTGTTTGAGGTGACATTTTGATGTATGATGGGGTGATATGTACATACATTTTTTAGATATGGCATGTTTCGTACATTAACTGGAAAAGAAATCATTTGGAAGCAGAAATAGTTTGTAAGGAACCTGGTTTTAGAAAGCATTAGGGCTGTTCCTCCATTTCATTCTCTTGCTGCTGCTGAGAAGGAATAAATCTGTGAGTACAAAAAAATGCGAGCCAAGTTAGAGTAAGGCACAATAGTTAATTGGAGGTGGATGGCTGAATAGTCTGACCTCTGACTAGCTTTGGCCGAGTGTGGCAAATCATGGAGTGGGTCCTCTATGAGCACTGTGTCACTGTGTCCAGATAGAGCTTCAGAGCTAGATGGAACTTTGCCAATCTATGCACAGTTGAATAAAGTAGTATGAACTTTGATTTTAAAAGTTTGTTATTGTGATCGTTACATCTGAAACTAAGTCAGTGAGAGTTAAGGTACACAAGGACTGTCAGTTGCATGAATGTTTGATACAGAAGATGTTATATTATGTTGTGGAATTTCATAACGCATCTATGCGTATTTTTCAGCATATACTGTTCCATTCCCTGTTCCATAAGTAAAGGTGAAAAACAGCTGTGACTAAATTTGGTTTGAAGACCTGAATTTGTAGAGAATTACAAAGGGCTAGTTGCTAAAAATAAATGTTCGAATTAATCAGATTTACTTGCATTGTTATTGCATGTAGATCTAAGCACAATAATGAATGCCCTTTTTTTCTTCATTTATTAATATTTGCATTTGGGTGATGGATTAGCTGTACTGTGATCCTACAATTTTCATCACATTAATGCCACAACATTCTCACACTCATGGAGATTTGTCATTGCTATGTACAAACTGTATGTCATGTACTATTTATAAACATTATTAATGGAGGTTTTTGTTTTTCCGTCATGTTGCACAGGCAGTACATACATTATTTGCATTCAGATGAAACAGATGATGAAAAAATAACATATTTGAGAAAATTATGGTAATACTTATGCTGTAGTTTCATGTATTGTTACTTTTCTGTACGGACACTGTTCAAGAATAAATATAAAATGTAGTTTCACTGTGTGATTGGCAAGATTTCTTAAATTCATGTGTAATACAGCTGCTGAATTTTAATCATAGGTAAAGCTGATCTAATTATTAAGCAGTAAGCCAAACTTTTAAATGTGTTAGAAGTAACCCTAGATCATGTGACTTTGAAATTATATTCTTCACCTCGTGCTTTATCAGTTACTGCAGGACTAAAATGTGTAAATCTGGCAGCATACATAATAGATATATGCTAACACCAAACCTGAAATTAGACATGATCCTGAAGTATTTCCATCCACATCTCAACCTCTCAAGCTGTTTCCTAGGATCCATCTTTATGTAATTCTCTGTAACCTTCTCAGTCTTTAAAGTGGCTGTCTATATAGGTCATACTATGATCATATATGCGACAGTATTAATGCAGTTTTATAATTATTTAGTGTGTTATTTTGTAATTTTTAATTAAATAATCATGATTTTTAACTGAAATCAGCACATATATAAGTTTTTATTAGAACTGGTTTGTTAATTGTTTAGATCCAGGCCACTTTATGTGAAAATGGTTGCCTCTGCAGCACCACCATTTGAAGTGAGTGACCTCTTGTGTTTGGTACAGTTGATATCATATCTTAATATAAGGTTTTTATTTTTGCAGGAATGTTATCTTCAAGGATGTTATCCATATGGATGCCTTCAGTAGATAATAAATAGTTATCAGTTCACTCTACCTTGAAGCAAATTGTCAACCTTTCACCTTACTTCCAGTTAAGTGGAGGGAGGAGGAGGCAGAAGAAAGCAAAAATGATCCAACATATCATTGTATTTTTCACCATTTTTCTACTAATGCATAACATTAATGAACAGTTGGTGTAGTGAAATTATAGAAGTTAAAAATACTAAGCTCAGTTTTGATAGAATGCTCCTTGTGTGAATCTGCATCTGTAATTTATTTGAAATAACCAAATCCATAAGTGCACACATTTCAATTAAATTATGTAAATATGATATGCTTGTAAATCAGAAAGCAATATTCAGAATTTCTAATCACTTTATCATCTTTGTTACTGGATTTTTATCCTCTTATTTTGTGAGAATGTGTGCTATAAAAATGCTGTCAGATATTTTAAAAAGAATTGCAGTGTGATGTACTCCTCTGCTAAGACTGACCACAGAACAGCAATAGCCAACAACAGTGTGTGTCCGTATGTGCCATGAGCAGTAGTCATAGGGTGAGTATATTCAGTAGAAACAGCATATTCTAAATAGGCCTTAATGATGCCTACTTTTGTTAAAATGATTTAAACTTTACTTTGGATACCTAGAAGTTGCAGCCAGTATGTTTCTATGTAATGTTGATAATGCATACCAGATTACATGGTATTATAACCCAGAAGACCGTGATATGAATGCCCACTGCCATGAAGACATAAAATTTATCAGATATTCTCCTGACAAGGTTGTCTTTGATGTATTGTTGAAAAAATTTGGAATAATTAGTGGGGGTATATATATAATGATGAAATAAAAGTTAGGCCTTAAGTGTTTGGTGGTTGTTAGAGAAAAGATTCAGTAATGATTTTGTATGCCATCTATACAGGGTATCCCAGGAGGAATGGACCAAACTTCAGGAGGGCGTTCCTTATGTTAAAGTATGCCGATATAACCCAAAACACTTATGTCCAAAGTTGAATGGTTACGGAGATAATGGCCCGAGAAAAGTGTGGTCTTCTGGCAGGTCCACGCGCTATACACCTGTCAGCTGAGACCCTTATCTGTTTGTCCCTGAGTGCTGTGAGTCACTAGCCGTAAGCTCATGCGCTACCTACATAGTCTACAGATTACGTTGCGGCGGGGTCGTGAATGGGTGGTAAATTAGTTGTGTGATGAGTTGCTGAAAT